TGCTGTCCTGCCTAGAGGTACCAGATACAGGAAGGGTATGTTTTGAGGCAAGATTTCAGGGCTTTTGTTGTTTAGTCGTGTCCGCCTCTTCGTGACCCCATGGACCAGAGCATGCCAGGCACTCCTGTCTTCCACTGCCTTCTGCAGTTTGGTCAAATTCATGCTGGTAGCTTCAAGAACACTGTCCAACCACCTTGTCCTCTGCCATCCCCTTCTCCTTGTTCCCCCCATCTTTCCCAACATCAGGGTCTTGTCCAGGGAGTCTTGTCTTCTCATGAGGTGGCCAAAGTCTTGGAGCCTCAGCTTCACGATCTGTCCTTCCAGAATGGATAGGGCTTAGAATTGTCATTTATGGCAGGGTGTTGTGCTGATTGAATGAGGCTGTGGAAAATTTTGCCATTTGTGCATCCCAATGTTTTCATAGCTCAAAGCACAGAGGGCCAGGATGCTCTCTTTTCCATGACAACTGGTCCTATAAACACACCCTGCTCAGGATAGCCAGCTCTTGCCAACTAAACGTCCCATACAAGATGGCAACTGAGATACAAAAGTGAGGGGGGAATTGAGATGATGCTCTCTGGTAATACCCCTTGTAAATTTTTACCTATATACGTCTTCATTTTTCATTCTGATTTCTAGCCCAGACTGTCCTAAAGTCTCAGATGGCTTGCAGTTTGCTAAACAAATACAAGTAGCAATAAAAACAAGGCAAAACCGAATGCTAAAACAATTAAAACTGACAGCACATTTGCAAACCTAAGCAGGGTCTGGTATGGCTTCAGATTGGATAGGGGAACCCGTGTTGAGATTCCTGCATTGCAGGGGTTGGACTAAATGACGCTCAGGGTCTCTTCCAACTCAGTTCTATGAACAATTAACCATCTTGCTCAAAGAAACAGTTCTTAGCACACTTCTGACTAAGACACTCACTTTCAGTCTCCAGAGAGGAGGAAACCAATATTTGTTACGTAGCCATTGCATATCCCATTTCCTGCCTCTTTGCTCTGTGAACTGGATGTGTAGCTGGGATCATCCAGGGGGTGATCCTGGTTGATCCGAGGGACTATAGTGGAAGATGAGTAGGAAGCGGTCTCAAGGTTTTACCTCGAGCCACCACCTCAAGGTTGGTTTGTGGCAGCTAGAGAGAAATACAGTTGGTTACTGTTGATACACCAGCCAAAGGTGCGGAGAAAATATTTATTCATTTAAAAGCATTCATGCACCACTTATGATTTGAACAATCTCTAAGCAGTGTTTCTAACACTGCATGTGTGGAGTTTGTCATGCACAGTGGAACTACCTCTCTTCTCCTTGCATGCCCTCAAAAATCTACCCTGGGGTGTCCTCCAACTCTCTGAAGTAGGCTTTGAAGGGTAACTAGGAGGGAAAAGCTCCACTGTGTAAGTGGAACAGCATTGCTGGATAGGACCCACAGCTGGGAAGAACTTGAAATTCGTGAACAGGATGGCAAGGTTACTTGTTAGTGCAAATATTTTTTTATTACTCTTAAATAAATTAAACATAGGGTGACAAATTAACTAACACTTCAAGGCATATGGTCTTTCATGCGCATAGCATGACCCAAGATCCAGGGAGTTTGACTGCTGCACTTGTCCCTTGTGTCACCAGTATACAAGTATTTTTTGTTTTTGCTAACGCTGGTGTATCAGTTAATCCACAATATCTACTTATCTCAACTTTAATGTAAGCAGGTTAAAAAAAGAGACCACTCACTGTCCCAAGTTGTGTGGAAAAAATTAACAATATATATGTATATTTAAAGCTAAGGCATTTGTGGATGGTGTTAATACCAGAGAGCCCTCAGATTCACAGAAAGACAGATGCTCTTTGCTCCATCAGTAGCTAAGAAAAGGGGCTGCATGGGTATGAGCAAGATGATGCAATGTGCTGACAATACAACACAATCTGGGAGGTTCAGTCAAGTTCAAAGCAAACAGGCAATCCAATTCTGAAGAGCATGAACAGACGTAGTGCCAAAATGAGATGGGCTGATGAGATACTTCCATGTTGGCTCTCTGTAAGGAAACATTAGAAGGGGAAGAACAGCAGTCCTTTATTCCACTGGAAAAATTTCCAGAATGATTTTTTTCTAAAGCTCCTGAATTTTATTTGTGCTTCCTCCCCCTCCCCCCATACCTGCTGAGGGTGACTGTACTAGCTGAAGTCATCCTTTGCTCCTCTCCCCCATTGCTCATTTTGTTTTAAAAAAGGGTGTGTTTTTTCCTATACCAGTAACCATAGAGATGCTTAATAGCTACAGCTTCTGCCTTAACTGTCCTCACAGCAAAATCTCTTCCTCCCCCACCCCCCTGATGCAGTAGAGCAGACTATTGGTGTGTTTAACTGTCTTAAGTTATAGTTCCCATCCAGAGCTGGGCGGGGGGCGGGTATCTCTCTCTCTCTCTCTCTCAAGCAATGCCAAGGAGGCTGCATAAGCTTTAAACTATTGATTGTCTGGAGTCGCTGAAGGACTGGGGAAGGCTCAGTCGAGACAGGAAAGAGGTGCTGTTTGTCAGTAGAATCATAGAACTGTAGAGTTCAAAGAAACCTGAGGGTCATTTGGTCCAGCCCCCTGCAGTGCAGGAATCTCAGCTAAGTTATCTTGACATATAGCCACCCAACCTCTGCTTAAAAACCTCCAATGAAGGAGTATCTACCACATTTTGTGGGAGTCTGTTCCACTCTCATCCAGCTCTTACTGTCTGAAAGTTATTCCTGATAAAGTTATTTAGTCAGAATCTCCTTTCTTGTACCTTGAAGCCATTGGTTCACGTCCTACCCTCCAGAGCAGGAGAAAGCAAGCTTGTTCTCTCTTTCATGTGACATATGCAGGATATTTGAAGATGGCTGTCATATCTCCTCTCAGTCTCCTCTTTTCCAGGCTAAACATACCCAGCTCCCTCAATCATTCCTCATAAGGCTTGGTTTCCAGACCTTGATCATCTTGGTTGCCCTCCTCTGCCCTCCTCATGCTTGTCAACATCCTTCTTAAATTGTGGTGCCCAGAACTGGACACAGTATTCGAGGTGTGGTTTGACCAAGGCAGAATAGGTAAAGGTAAAGGGACCCCTGACCATTAGGTCCAGTTGTGGCCGACTCTGGGGTTGCGGCGCTCATCTCGCTTTACTGGCTGAGGGAGCCGGCGTACAGCCGTGGCCAGCATGACCAAGCCGCTTCTGGCGAACCAGAGCAGCGCACGTAAACGCCGTTTACCTTCCCACCGGAGCAGTACCTATTTATCTACTTGCACTTTGATGTGCTTTCGAACTGCTAGGTTGGCAGGAGCAGGGACCGAGCAACGGGAGCTCACACCGTTGCAGGGATTCAACCGCCGACCTTCTGATCGGCAAGTCCTAGGCTTTGTGGTTTCTAAGGTGCCATTGGATTTTTAAATTTTTTAATTTATTTCGACTATGTCAGACCAACATGGCTACCTACCTGAACCAAGAAAAGGGGAAGGTGTCATCTCTCTGGCACCTTCAATGACAAAAAGTTGCACCCACGCATGCAGCTGTGAACTATGATTGTGTATAGGCTTCCCACCTCGCATGTGCCAAAGTTTCAAGGTCTGTGAGGTTTGTTGTTGCTCCAAGTATTTCATAACCCATTATTATTGCACTCTTATACTGTTGTTATGCTGTATGCATGTTAATAGAACAATGTTTGTGTCAAAAACTGTCAGTTAGGCTCCATACACTGTATGTGTTGTTATTTTTCTAGCAATAGCTGTGTGTATGTCAGAATTTATAGCTTTACCCTTTTAGGGTTGCCATACGTCTGGAATGTCCCAGATGTATCCAAAATACTGCAGTTGAAAGCAGTATCCGGGCGGAAATTTCTAACAATGTCATGGCAACCCATGAAAAACTCAACAACTTTTGTCTTTTGAAATATGGCAACCCTACCTTAGCACAACTTATGAAAATATTTTAAATCATAAGAATTTTTATTTGGAAGTGGAATTTACTCCCAAATTAGTGTTTATAGGTCTGTATGTGTCTCCGCATTATTTCCTCTTGACTTCCCAGGAACAAGACCTGGGATGCATAACAGATATTTACCAGAAAATAATCTTTCTGTAACATCTTCCAGTAACCTGACAATTATTCATTTGTACTTTTGAGATTAATCATTACACACATATTTAGAGCTGCATTCCTATGCCCGCTTAGTATTCCTATCAGACATAATGAGATTTATTTATGAGTAAACAAGGCATGGTTATGAACTCAGCTGCCCTTGGAGCACTCTCTGTCACCTTCTGTGTTCACTATATTTAAAAAAGCAAATTAACAGGGTTTGGGTCAACCATAACATTTTACGCTTCCATACTCTCACGTAGTTCAGTTAGGCAGCTCATGCTGCAAAACTTTCGAAAGTGTCATTCTGTTGCATGGTTTTCATTTGCTTGTATATAATATTTCTGCTGATGTTTCCAATCCACAGCAGAGAATTTGTGGCTCAGCTAGTACATTTGTGTCATTACCTATGGTGGCAAAGCCTGGTTTATAGCAGAAATGTAATTGCACCTTTTACTTGTAGCATATCTTTCTTTGAAAGCCAAAATAATGCTTGAGCATACAGTATATTTTCTCTTACAAGGAAGCTTGCTTTTTCTTTGAGAAGTTAAAAAAAGTGTTTGGAAGATACAAAGGAGTGTGTGTGTGTGTGTGTGTGGTGTGCATGATGTAGTAACTTTGCATTTATAATCCCAAGAGATCTGTTTTTTCAGCAGCACATATTACTGCATGTAAAACATTTTATTTTTAAAAAATGGATTCATATAAATTTTAGTATTCTGTTTCCTGTGTGTACATTTGGCAGTGACACAAAAGGAAACCGGTTGATGGTTTTCCTGGGATTAGAGGCCTGATTACCAAGGACATGTTTTGGTTGGTTGCAATTAAAATGCTTGTCAGGCATTCGATACCAGGAACCCTTTTGATAGACGGCTTAAGCTGAGGCAAGTGCAGCATCCTATTGTAAGTGACTGATGGCGGAGCTGGCTGCCTTGCTGTCATTCTGGAAAATTCTGTGGCCAGCGAGCTCCCTCTGTGTCTCCCACTCGGCCTCTTTTCCTTTTCACCACTGCGGGGACTTCATCTGATTTGCAGTTTTCCTCTTCCCCGACACACATACGGAAGCTGCAAGCTGGTGGCTGGCAGACTGTGTCTGTCTGGAGATAGACAGAGAGCTCACGGATACTAATACTCTGGGAGAATGGTTATGCTGCAGTTATTTAAGGATATGCCTTTGTTGGTATTGCAGCACAGGAGCTGGTAATGTTTCTTCCCCTTTTTGTTTTACCATCAGCTTTATGTGTGTCTTTTTAAATACCTGCAATATGCTGATCTACAGAAGCCCTTCCGGCTATATATTAGGTGCAGAATTTGCAAATACTAGATGAATGCAGGCTCTGTATGGAAGGCATAGGGTATGCATATGTTTGCATTTCATGCATTTATTTAATTGCTTTGGTATGCTTTGGGTGGGGTTTTTTGAGGGGGGAAATTTTGCATGCATTTTTGGGTTGCATTTTAAACTAAATGGGTGCTTTTTGTACAGAAATGGAGGATAATACTTTTCCAGTGTAATAATATTAAGTGTGTGTGTATATGTGTGTGTTATTTTGCAGATTCTCCAGCCTTTTCTTTCTAACCAGACACACTCCTTGGTTTTGACTTGCTTGCAGACAAAAGGTAAGGCACAGCTCGTTTTTCACCTGTCTGTACTCACACAGCGGAGTGGGTGTTTCATTCACAGGCGATCTTTTGCATACGACTTTTTATTCTATTCTGATATCTGATACACAGTACTATAGCTTTTCTTGGGCATTTTGGCTTGGCCATGGAGTACCATTGTGGAAGTTCATTGTGATGGCTGCATTCTTAAAAACTACTTGATGCATGGAGACATAAGCTCAGTCATTTTGGCCACTGGGGTTGCCTCAAAGTAAAAAACAACAACTAAAAACCTTTGCTTTTCTCGATCACCTGTCAGAGCTGGACAAACAAAACAAGCACAAACATTATTCAGCCCTTTATTCTCAACCATTCTAGATAAAGGGCATTAAGAGTGGGGGAACCTTTCTCCCTAAAAATTAACTGTGGTTGCAGTTCTGTGTAAAGGAGTACATAAGGGATTAAATACCTTGGCTTGTTTCAGTAGGTAGAGTCTGCCACATACAGACAGAGCCGTGTTTGTTTCTAGGGAGGGAAAAGTCTGTTTTTGTTAAAAAAAAAACCCGCCCCCCGCTATTGTAACTAAGAGATACATGTATCCTTGCCATTGATTTTCATGCTGTATCTTTATTGGGTAGGGATGTGAGGATACAGCAAATGCATCCCTTTTCTACCCCCCCCCCATCAAGCCATTCAGCTTATAAGAGGATACGCCTACATGTTGCCACAAAAGCTGCAGAACATTTTGTTGCTGTGACACATCAGAATATACATATATTATCCTGCCTTCCACTCATTCCTTTTTCGTTGCTGTAACAACACTTTGCAGCCATCTGCATGAGATACTGAGAAAATAAAGCAAAATGTGTCTCTTTTTTTCTCCCCCTCTGGAATACATCTAATACAATACTCCATAACACAGAATCTGGGAACTGTTCTTTTTGGTTTGGGTTTTGAATGGGGCCTAATCTGTTCTGGGCACCCTCTCAGACTGTGGGGGTTTTTTTGGGGGGGGCGGTTTGGTGGTCACTTCACCTTTACCTAAGGTTCTGTAAATATAGTCCATGTCCCATGTTCACCTTAATGTAGTCACGTAATGTTTTTTCACACATTCACATGAAAAAGTATGTTTGCAAACACATATGTCACATTAAGTGCAATTGCCAAAGTATTAAGATTGGCTGTATTTCTCTGTAACCCAAAGTTGAGTGTGATACATTATGTCAAATGGCATGCATGTGTTTGTGTGTTCAATGTATGTGTGTTGTGTGTCTGCATGCCCGTCTGTGTGCTTCACATGTTAAGTTCTTAACTGTTGTCTGCCTGAATCTGAATCTATTGTATTGTTTTATATACTAATTACCTCCCCCCAATGTCAACTATATATTTAGGAGAGATCAAAATGCAACTAGGCTTCAAACGCACATTCTGCTCTTTGTGTTCATTTTCCTCTGCTATTTGTTGCCTTAATTGCAGCACCTTGTCATCTTTACGTTTACCTGGTTTTTAAAAAGAATATGAACACGGGAAGCTGCTTTATAGTGAATCAGACATTGCTCACTATGGTCTCCCCTGAATGGCATCAGCTCTGCAGGATCTCTGGCAGAGGTCTTTCCCAGGACCTGCAATCTGGGCCCCTTCTTCCTGCAGACCATGTGCTCTGCCATGTAACGATAGCCCTTCTCCACACATGAGTTGCTCTCTCCTGAGAGCCAGTGTGGTGTAGTGGTTAAGAGCAGTAGTCTTGCAATCTGGGGAACCGGGTTTGCGTCTCCGCTCCTCCACATGCAGCTGCTGGGTGACCTTGGGCCAGTCACACTTCTTTGAAGTCTCTCAGCCTCACTCACCTCACAGAGTGTTTGTTGTGGGGGAGGAAGGGAAAGGAGAATGTTAGCCGCTTTGAGACTCCTTAGGGTAGTGATAAAGCGGGATATCAAATCCAAACTCTTCTTCTTCTTCTTCCTTTGAGATGCTGGGGACCTTCTGCCATTAAGGCCAGTTCATGTTTCAGACCACATGTGGATTGTACCCTTTGCTCACTTAGATCTCTTTGTCAGATTTTGGCAGATTTCCTTTAAAATAGCTCAACAACTTTGGCCAACGGACAAAACAAAAAAAGGCCAACAACTTTTGTGTCCAGATTTTCACTTGTTGAAACATGGCAACCCCACGATTATTATGCACAATAAAATGGGTATAGGTACGAGGTATGGAAGTTACAGGTGCAAATCCTTCTGCTGAACAAAGGCGGAGGGACGTTATCACAAGATCTTATGAGATAACACAAGATCTTATGAGATAACACAAAAAATGCTCTTTGTTGTTCCATGCAGTTCTTTTGCCATTTAATATTGCATGTATTTCAGTGTTGGCTTTTAAATCTGGCTAATAATCTTGTTTGCTGAGGTCTAATGACCTGCCACCACTCATAGAAACATGAGATAGTGCCTCTACTGTTGATAGAAAAAGAGGCTCTTCCACAAGCATTATAGCTCTGTGATGTGGGGTGCCACTTGGGAGAATGATTGGCCTGGGAAGTTCTCTCCTCCTGATCACCCACACCAGAAGCCACTATTTCCTCTTTAAAGAGGTCAACTTGGGCTGCAGGAATCCACATTAGTTGCATGTAGCTTGTATCTTTGCTCTGAGGGGCTCAAACTGGACTCTTCATTTGGTAATATTTACTGTGACAATGCCTTTGAATTGTTGACCTTAAAAGTCTCTTCTTTCTTGAAAATCTAGCCAGCATGATCAATGGAAAGTATGGCTAGCTATGCTTTTTTGTAAGTTCCATTCTTCAAAGAATTGTTTAGAAAACTGGCACTCTAATGCTTGAAAAGTAAGGGACATTTCACACACAGTTGAAATATTCCTCCATGCAAGACATCTCAAGTTTCCCCCCAGATGATTTTGCCCCATAAAGATAACATACCATAAATGTAACAACTTAACGTTGTAAGTTGCTTTGAAATGTTTTGTGTCATGAGTAATGAATAAATGTAATCATAAACTATAACAACATGCAACTCAGGCCCTCAGTAGATAAAGTGACAGCTATTGTGATGCTGACAGCGGAAAATGTGCTTCCATGATAATGACAAATGGCTGCTCGGAAGCTATAGCTGAATGTCCTAAGTTATGTTTTTACTTTTTCTGAGTTAATGCTTCCCCATTGGATAGTTGCATGCTGGGACATTGGTAGCATTCTTTGATCAGGGGTACAGCTAAAGGCAAAGAGCAGGCAGATTGGAGTACATTCAGGCAGAGGAACCAGAAGAGGCCCTGGGCACTGCCAAAGATCGCTAAGTTGGAGCTGTTGTTCATACTGCCGTTGATCATTTCTTTGGAGCCAAAGAAAATAGAGGTGGAGGTGTCATTCCAAGGCAAATCAGGGGTGAGGCATTACCACTGGCTTGATTGCATGGAACTAGATTTTGGCTATATGACTTCTGCTACTGTTTGTTAAGGGACGCGGGTGGTGCTGTGGTCTAAACCACAGAGCCTAGGACTTGCTGATCGGAAGGTTGGCGGTTCGAATCCCCGCAATGGGGTGAGCTCCCGTTGTTTGGTCCCAGCTCCTGCCAACCTAGCAGTTCGAAAGCACGTCAAAGTGCAAGTAGATAAATAGGTACTGCTCCGGCGGGAAGGTAAACAACGTTTCCGTGCACTGCTCTGGTTCGCCAGAAGCGGCTTAGTCATGCTGGCCACATGACCCGGAAAAACTGTCTGTGTTAATGACACAGCTTTACATTTCCAAAGTGCTTTACAGCACAATGAGGTTGTTGTTGTGGTGGTGGTGTTGTTTGTTTGTTTGTTTGTTTTAAAAAGGTGCCCCAGGTAGAGCTGCCATCGTAAGTCTACCTCTACTATTGCTAGTACCTCCTTGTCTGAGATGCATCATGCCCCAACATTACTGTCCTTGCATCAACAGGTGAATTGGCACCTTTTTGTCCATTCCTTTGGGGAGGGATGAGGTGCATCCCCTTACTGTGTCCAAGCTACCGTTTGTCTTCTTCATAGTATTGATTTTACGTAGTTGCTTCTACAGGGAAAAGTTGGTTCTGGTGTTCCACATTTTGACTGTGACTTATAAATATTTGCAATAAATAAATAAAATGCAGAGGAGGTGGCTGCTGCTAGGCTCATAGAAGCTACATCTTCTGCCATATTCCTTACTGGAAACCCCATCTCATTCCCCACTATCATCTGCTGAGATGAGCAAAAAATAATTATTATTCTGACCCAAAGATGAGACAGAGGGTGAGAAGCAAAGAGTACTAGGAAGGAATAAGGTGAAAAGCACAGTGGGTTCAGCACCAGTCTTTGAATTGGTAATAAGATAAACATAGGTTTTCCTCCAAATTCTAATCTTAGCCATGTAGCCTAGCCTGCCCCTCTCTGACATGCTAGGTATGACATGTAGAGGTCTGACATGTAGAGGGAGCATTGTTTTTCTTTTCATTTTTAGTATGTGGAACCATTTAGACATTGAATCCTCTCACCTGCTGACTGAAATGAAAACAGAGAGTAGAGCCACATTAAGGCAGTTGGACTTAGCTCTCTCAAATCAAAATCCTACTCCTTGTCTTGGGCCAGACCAAAATTATTATCCTCAAATGTCAGTTGGGTAGGTGAAGTTTAGCTTTCTTAAATCCACCCAGTGCAGGCTGAGATAAGATTTAAATCAAGGAATTCTAGCTAGTAGCTCATACACATTTTGCTACTATGGCTGCGGAACCATAGCAATTTAGGGTTTTGTTTTGTCATATGCTCATTCTCACTCAGGCAATCTAACATTATTTCTAAACCTGGCTTTCTAAAAATTGATTTCCATTTGCCAAACAATCTAAACTACATAGGAAAGTTACCAACAAAACCCACAGGACAAAAAAGTAACCCACTGCAGTATTATATTTTCAATAATTTACCCTATCTTCAAAATAAAAATAAAAATAAATAGCTTTAAATATATATTGCTCCTATTGGCTCTACAACCCCTACACTTGTTGTCTGGCTTT